TTATTTCAGTTTATGGCTACGCGAATGGTGAAGACAAAATAAAGACTAAAGAAGAAATAGAAAGAAGCTTGGTGGTTATGTTGATCTCTTTGGAGTTCTTTTGTGCGAAGTCGTTGTTGTTGTCGGCGATGCTAACGAACTTTGGTGAAAAGAATAACGTAATAGGGGATATTGTGTGAGAGTGGCTGGGAAAGGGGGAGGGAGCGAGGTCACCCGGCAGTAATTGAAGTAACATCAAAAACTTTTGTAATGGACTTGTTGTAAAGCCGTTGATAGTAGGTTACTGAGATGCCTCAATGTTCGCCGAGATAAAGAAATTATATGGTAAAAATAACAACAACAAAAAAAAACAACAATAATGAGAAGAAGAAGAAAAAAACATAAGCAGCAAAAATAATGAAAGTGTTGAAAGAGGCAATTGAAAGTGCAAAACAACAACGAGGCATATTTTGTTGTTGTTCGTTTTGTTTTTGTAATATGTTTTAATAATCAACGAAATGACAAATGACTTCAATTAAAAAACAACAACACGCACCCCACGCACACACAAATACACACAGTGAAGCCTCCATTTCATGCCTATGCAAGAAGGGAGTAGAAAACAAAAACAAAGCCCCACTACTGTGTGTGCCCTTTTGTAAACAAACTCTCGGTAGATGGAGTAACAATAGATGTCTCTTTCTCTCGTGTGCGTGGGTGTTTTTGTTTTCCTTCGTGTAATGATCTGTTGGGAGAGTTGTTAGTGTAATATGGGGATTACAGTCGTGCGTCTCAATAACGAATGCTATTTCACGAGGGTGAAAACACACAGTGAAGCCTCCATTTCATGTTTATGCAAGAAGGGAGTACAAAACAAAAACAAAGCCCCACTGCTGTGTGTGCTGTGCCCTTTTGTAAACAAACCCTCGGTAGATGGAGTAACAATTGATGTCTCGCTCTACCTCTCTTGTGTGCGTAGGTGTTTTTGTTTTGCTTCGTGTAATGATCTGTTGGGAGAGTTGTTACTGTATTATGGGGAGATACAGGCGTGCGTCTCAATAACGAATGCTGTTTCACGAAGATAAACACATGGAGATTATCACATGTTGTCTTTCGTTTTCTATAAAGAAGGAAATTGTTCGTCCCTCAACGAATATTTTTTTATAGAGGAGTTCGTCTGTGAGCAGCATCATCAATGTTTGCTGTGTGGGTGGTGGTGGTGGGTTCAAAGAGCAAACAACGAAGGTTGACTGTCTAGCACATAATGAGTTTAACACTGGTGACTAGTCCCATTTGTGCCTAAGTGCAATTGTTGTTGTTATTTTTTTTGTCTAACAGACAAACTCTGTTACACCAATAATAACAATAATAATAATTACCATGGCTGTCTGCCTTTTGTTCTTTTCGTTCGTGCACATTCAAGGTCAATAATATTTTGGCTAGATTTAATTATGTTTCTCTCATTGTCATCCTAAGTAAATAATGGTGGTGTCTTTGTTAGATATGTTTACATGACATTACAGAGTTATGTATGTTAACTGATGTGTGAGTATAACAGTAATGCTGCTGTTACAGGGTTGGGCATGACTTTATTCTGTTTATCATTGAGTGATGCAAAGGGAATGTTACAGTGGTACGAAACTGATTTCATCTTAGAAAAAAAATTAATTAATTAAAAAATCGTAATAGAAAATAATTAAAATAAAAAAATAAAATAAAAAATAATAATTAAAATAAAAAATACGAAAAGCGAAATAATAAAAAGGTAAAAAAATAAAAAGTACAAATAAAATAAAATATACAAAATGTACTTAATATTTTTTCTAAAAATTAAAAAAAATATATTTATTTATGGCTATTTTTTATTTTCCTGAAATTTAAGTCATGGAAAAAATTATTTAAAAAATCTACGCCTCATATAAGACTTGGAATAAAAATCTACACTTCATATATGACTTGGAATAAAAATCTACGCCTCATATAAGACTTGGAATAAAAATCTACGCTTCATATATGACTTGGAATAAAAATCTACGCCTCATATAAGACTTGGAATAAAAATCTACGCTTCATATATGATTTGGAATAAAAATCTACGCCTCATATAAGACTTGGAATAAAAATCTACGCTTCATATATGACTTGGAATAAAAATCTACGCCTCATATAAGACATGGAATAAAAATATACGCCTCATATATGACTTGAAATAAAAATCTACGCCTCATATAAGACTTGGAATAAAAATCTACGCCTCATATAAGACTTGGAATAAAAATCTACGCCTCATATAAAAAAATAAAAATTTTTTTCATATAAGTCATGGAAAAATAATTTAAAAATCTATAATTCAAATAAGTCATGGAAAAATGATTTAAAAAATATATGCCTCATGAAAAAAAATGATTTAATTTTTACCCTAAATGGCTTTATTTAATTTTTAGTATATTATATATTTTGTTATTTTTTATAATTTATTTTTCATATTTAATAATTTAATTTCTTATATTATCCAAATTTTCCCAACATTTTGGTGGCATTCCTCGTATAACATCACACATAAATCTCCATATTGCTAACATTTCTCTGTTATTACCCTATGAAACCAATTAAATGCACACAAAACCTGTTATTTACATATCACTGGCCTTTAACATGCCCTTTCTTGCAACAGAGCTCTCTGCCTTCATCACACTCTCTCACACACACATTCTCCCCCAATTCCCTGTTCATATTCAGCCATGTTTAATCACTGTTGCCTACACTGCACTGCACACAACACAGCACAACGACCACATATTGCCCCAAGTGAGAAATGTAAACAAACAACAAAGGAGAAGTTACACAGAGAGAGAGAGCGAACGAGCGCCAAACAAACACTGTGGGAGAGCCCTGCAGTTTGTCTGTTGATGATGAAAACTTGTTTTCAATATCGGGTGGCTTCTTCAGTTTGTTAGCGGTCTTTTAAGCGTCTGGTTGTAAGTGAGCGCATAGAGTTTAATTTGTAATCGGCAACACACACACAATCGTTGTGATATTTTAATACGGCGCGTCGTTATTTGTCGTCGTCGTTTGTTGTTGTGTTGTATGAGAACGGTCGTCGTCGTCATCACCATCGTACTTGTTGTCGTCGGTGTTGCGAGCTGTTGAATGCATGCATATGGCTTGCTTGCCTGCCTGTTTGCTTGCTTAGGCTGACGTCAGAGTGCGCGCGAGAAGCGATGCTATGATATGCCGCTAGACGACGCTATAAACCTCTGCGTGTGTTTTCTTATGGCATAGCGCAAAAGTTGTCAGAGTGGATGCTACGCTACAAGCGAGTGCAAGCTATAAAGCGTGTTGTGCAATGGTTTATAGCAAGAGCTCGCTTTGGCTCTGTTTGAGTTTCTTTGTTTATTATTTTTATTTACCGTTATTGATCGGTTTTTGGCATCGTTCTTTTGCATCTTATCGAATTTTAATGGCGTGGACCAATCTGTCGGGATTTTTGTGGACTCAAGTCCAAATTTAATTAAATAATAATAAAATAATTTGGAAAAAATAAGGGAAATCGATGCAGAAATATTTGTTCATTTCATGAATTTTCTTTAAAAAATTACTTTGAAAATATTTTGTGATATGAAAAATTCTTCGTCGGAATCCTTCTTGAGTCAATAACACCAGTTTACAACAGAAATAGGCGATATAAACCAACAACACGCTTTGCTCTCTATAGCACTCACTCTGACATACTATAGCATTGAAGTAGCATGAACTATTATAGCATGTAGTATCGCATCGCTTCTCGCTTGCACTCTGACGTCAGCCTTAGTTTTGATGGATGGATTACGGTGCTTTGTTTATGAGAGTTAAATGAGTGTATGTGTGAATGAGAATAAAAAATAATAATAAAGGAGATAATAAATAAAAACAAAATGCCGTCGGCTTGTTTGTGAAGGCTTGGCATGAAAGTTAACAAAATTAAAGGAAATTTAATAGTTAAAAATAATTAAAAGGTGTATAATTGTGAAATTATAATTAAATTGAAGCTGAAATATTTGAAAAATAGTGAATAAAAAGGCAGAAATTTCACTGCAACGTCAATATTGCGACCTGTGGATTACTCAAAGGAAATATTGACAAAGTGAAATTGGAAAAAAATCATCCATGTAATTTGTAAAGTGTTAGGCAAATGCCAGAGCCAGAAAATTATTGAAAAAAATCACAGAAAATTGGAAAAATTCAAGAAAATTAAAATCAAAATTTTGAAATATTGAAATAAGGAATTTAAAAAATTATTGAAATAAATAAAAATTAAAAATACAAAATATTCACGAAGAAGAGAATATTTTTAAAATTGTGAGATAAAAAATATCAATAAAGAGGAATAAAGGATTAAAGAAAAATACCAAATAAGAAAAAAAATAAAAAGGAGTAAAAACAACTGCTGGAGAATTAATGCAAAAAAATAAAATATTTTAAAGATTTTGTATAAAAGAACAATTTAATTTGAAAAGAAAAAAAAAAATAATTTTCACAAAAAAAAATAATTTAAGATTTATAAAAAAAATCTTAACAAATTTGGTTCGAAGAAAATTGAAAGAGAATTTGAGAAATATTTTTTAAATTGACCAGACAAAAAAAGTATTTAAAAAAATTAAATTTAACAAACAACAAAATTTGTCTACAATAAATTTTATAAATAAATTAAAAAAAAAATCAGTAAATTGAAATAAAACATAAAAAATCTGAAGCAATTTTTTTAATATAAGATAAAATAGTTAATAAAAAAGGAACGACAAAGAATTAGAAACGCATTTTTTCAAAATTCGAAAACATTATTAAAAATCTCACTCGAATGTAATAATTAACAAAAATAATTCGGATATAAAAGTTTTGAATATGGAAAAATACCAAATTAATCAATTTTGAAAATTTCAAACAAAAAATCTGACAATTTGAAAAAAATCAAACAGAACCTCAAGGTTCTAAACCAATTTTTTCCACAACAAAATATCGGAGGACACAAAAACTTCTACAACATGGCCAACAGATTATGCCCACAACAGAAATGTCATGTTCCAGTTGGCAGGAACATCTTCCTTCTGTATCTCACAATTTTCACATTGTGTTTAAATCCAACCTTAGCGGTACATCGTTACGACCAGTCCTCGTCATTGGAATCCAGTAACCCCTATTATCGTACCTCAAGTTCCGGCGAGGTGGTTGGGTCCACCTCAATGTCTGCCGATGATGCTTTCCCGCATCACAATCGTTGTGAACCCATTACCATATCAATTTGTAAAAATATCCCTTACAATCGGACAATAATGCCTAACCTTATTGGTCACACAAAACAAGAGGAAGCTGGTCTCGAAGTTACACAATTTGTACCGCTCGTGAAAATCGGTTGCAGTCCAGATTTACAGTTATTCCTTTGCTCTCTCTATGTTCCGGTTTGTACGATACTTGATCAACCCATCCCACCATGTCGGTCGCTTTGTGAATCAGCACGAATGTGTGAAACATTGATGAGGAATTATAACTTCAATTGGCCCGAGAATTTGGAATGTTCAAAATTCCCAGAACATGGTGGTGAAGCGCTATGTGTAGCGGAAAATTCTACGGCTTCGACTCCACCACCCACACGGATTTCAAAAAAGGTTACAACGAGGAAAAATTACGCGGGCATGGATAGTGCACATCCACATCGGGATATCGGGTTTGTCTGTCCCATGCAAATGCAAACGCCACCCGATATGGGCTATTCGCTGAAAGTTGGAGGAAAGGTAAGTCGGAAAAATATTATTTTCTAGATTTTATAATTTTTACTAGGACTTCTTCAAGTCTTCTTAGAAGTGTGAGTTTTGTAAAAGTACCAAATTTTTCAAAGTATGAATACCGAATATTGAGGGTACCGTTATATGGGTGGCTATATCAAAACCTGGGCCGATATTCATAATTTTAGGTAAGGAGATTTTATTTTATTTTCATTGAAGAACGTCCACAAACCCCCCGAAATATCGAATATTGAGAGGTACCGTTGTATGGGGACTATTCTAAGTAGTTGACCACAATATAAAAAAAATGTTGCTATGGAAAGGTGCCACCTAACAATAATTCTAAATATCAAATTACAGCCGCTTCGGTTGAAACATGTGCCCACACTCCTCAAAATACCGAATATTGAAGTTACATTTGTATGGGGGTTATACCAATACCTGAACCTATATTGATAATTTTTGGCAAGGAGATTTTATATCCTACAGGAAGTCAAAGTATCAAATTGGATTATTTTTGCCAATGTTTAATTTCCATTTAATACCCATAATTTTCTAAATACAATATTTATGGTCCTTCGAGCTAAGAAAAGAAGGGAAATATTAGTATTTGTTACCTAACTTTAAATGAAAAATGGTCCTTCGACTATTTAACCCTTTGAGCCCCGAATTGTTTCCCGCAATCTTAGGACAAATTTCTGTTCACAGATTTAATGCAACTATCCTAAATAGGATAGGTACAAAATTTGACATCGATATATCCTTGCATTCGGGAGACACAGTACATTCTTTCGGAAAAAATAAAGTCCAATATCAAGAAAACCAAATGCAAAATCGTCAGAAAAATCATTTTAAATTATTCTCTGTATTCAATTTTACAAGAATCAAAAATAATTCTGAGGGTAGAATTTGTACAATTTGAATACGAAGCGATTTAAATAATTTGGACTGTATACACAAATTAGTACGGTACACAAATTTACCCTCTTCTCTATATTGAAAAGCTCATAACTTTACCAAATTTTGGAATTTGTTTGATTTTTCTTTTGATATGTGTCGTCCATAATTAGGTCTTCACATATGAAATCTAAATAATACATATCTACTAGCTGCATATAAAATATAAGCTCTAAAACATTTTGTTCCCTGTGGGCAACATTGGGCCACAAAGGGTTAAAAATATAAGTATCCAATAAAAAAAGTAAAAATGGATTTAAAATACAACATATTTTAAATTAAAAGCTGAAATGGTCCTTCGACCAGTCCAAGTTACTAACAGGAGTGAAAAAAGAGTAATAGCAATTGGCGTTCGACTAATCAAAAATACTAGTGTCCCAACAAATTTTAAATTCGAGTTCAGAAAAATAAAAGAATAAAATATTCCGCTGAGAGTGAACATTTTTAAATGGTCCTTCGACCTACTGCTAACTTACGTGAAACATAAAAACAATTAATTCCGATGAAGAAGTTCTGAAATAATTGTTAACAAGTAAAAATAAAAGCAATTTGTGAAATGCTCCTTCGGCTAATCAGAAATAGAAAAAAAACATACTAATGTTCTAGTCTGTAAAAGTTGAAATGGTCCTTCGACTAGTCCAAGTTACAACAAAAGAGAAAAAAATACTAATTGTTCCCCTTGTATACTTTAAAATGATCTTTCGACTATTCCAAAGTCTAAGATCGGTTAAAACCTGAAAAAATAAAACGTGCGGTTCCTGACAAGTTAAATGCTAGATATGAAGCTGAAATGGTCCTTCGACTAGTCCCTATTACTAACTGAAGTGAAAATTCCAATCCAGAAATTGAAAAAAAAACGAACGGTTAAATCCTGAAATTATAATCTATAAAAGTAGTATTGGTAATTCGACCTACTACGCGTTAATGAAATAAATGTAAGTGAACACAAGTGAAAATAAAAGCAATATGTACACTATGTATACTATTAAATGTTCTTTCGACTATTCAAAAAAATAAATACGTGTCCCAAAATAGCAAAAACGAATGTTTAAATCCTGAAGTTATAATCTGTAAGAGTTGAAAAGGTCCTGCGAACGAGTTTAAGTTATTAAAAACCGCGAAAAATGCTATGTGTCCCCTATTCAAAAACTAAGTTCAAATCAAGAATGAAAAAGAAGGGAATTTCAATCTATAGTAAGTAGTAATGGTCCTTCGACCTACTACGCGCATATGGATGCATGTGAAAATGAAAAATGTGTACCCCATTAAAATTCCTTCAGAGAAATATTTTTTTGATTCCATTAGAAAAATCAATAACAACTATCAAACTCTCCCAGCATTGCAATTATAAAAACCATTGAACGGAATAATAGCCGGATACCCTGCATCTGTTTAATTCACACAAAGATTAAATGGATACAACCAAACGCTTAGCCATTCAGAAAGCATATCATTTTCTAATCCCAATATTTATTCCATTAATAACCATTACTTGTGCATAATAGCAAATAATCATCATCATTTCAATGTAAACGGAAGGAAGAAAGAACGAAGCAAAAAAAAAAAAGAGAATAGCAAATAAAAAGGATATAGCAAAAGGATATTACGTTTGTTATTACGCTGATACGTCAGTAATGTTGTCTACAACATAATTTTATACCGAGGACATGGAGGCAGCAGACAGACAGACGAAAAACATTTTCTAAAAATAATATTTATGCAACGGCGAACCATTCAAGGCAACATGTTGCATAAACAAACAGACATTATTTTTAATATTCAGCAAGTGGTGGCGATGTTGGTGGTGTTGTTTTTCAGGGAATAATGGTTGATTAACTGTCGTCTTGTTTGTCAGGGCCTATTTTTAAATCAAACGACGGATCGACCCTCCGCATGGTGTCTGTCTCGCCGTCGCCTTATAAATCCTTTAAATGTTAAACACAACTGCAGACAGTTTGTGTAAAACACATCCGGCCATCGATAATACAAACTCGTACATACAACAATCGCCGCATATCTATCAGATGGCGGTGAGTGGCGAACCTTTTCATTTCTACTACTGCCACAGTTGACAAAGGACAATAACACTGGCTGGCTGGATGGATGGCATATCCTTATTTAAGGGTTGTTTTTGTGTGAAGACCTCACACACAGAGATACATTCTCCGCATTACAGGCTCTAGAATTTCATACATTCCTCCGGTTTTTTTAAAGAGGTGCCAAGAAAATTAATCGTTGCCTTGCCTTAATGTCTTTCTATTCTTCTTCTCCTCCATCAAGGAGATACAATCAATAAGTATTTCTATGGCATGAAATTCGTTTATTATGAAATTTCTTTTGTCACACCACATGACATCAGGACAAAACCGTTGACGTGCTTAAGCTTCAACAGGTATCACATTTATCTGTGTCAGGAGGAATGTAAAATACTAACGACTTGACATGCTATCTCCTACCATTTTCCTATAGAAATCTATCGAAGTAGCCCCCTACTAATTTCTTTTCTGGTTTTACGTTTTTTTCAATTATCTAGGTTATATCCTTGAAATTGTCTGCTTGGCGTTGTTTTTTGTTTTGCATATCGTTGGTATGGACATTGCTCTCTTTGCAACTACAACTAATGAGGTCAGGTGGAAAAATACGAAACAAGAAAAGGATGTAACATGGGGTAAATTTAATCGATTTAATTTAAATGATGGCCATGTTTTAGTCCAAAATAAAATATGTAAAGGAAAAATATATATTTTTCATAGTTTAATAACGAATACATGAGAAATGGTCCTTCGACTATATATAATAAACTAGAACCGGATTAAAAAAACAAGTGCCATAAAGGCAGAATATTTTAAATTAGACGCTGAAATGGTCCTTCGATCAGTTCGAAATGACAATAAAAGTATTTGTCTCCTAGCTTAGAATGAACAAAATCGGATTATGAAACAAACTTGTAGCTTTAAATTACAATTCACCAATTAATTCCTTAACCTAAAATGGTCCTTTCGACCAGTTAAAATAAAATTATTTTTTCTCTACTTAGCATGAGAAATTGTCCTTCGACTATTTAAAAAAAACTCATTTCCAAGAAAATGCATCTTACATATCACGTCTAAACATTTGCGGACCATAAAGTTTGAATATGTCAAATAAAATTAGATTGGTTGCTAATATGGTCTTTCGACAAGGTGGAAAAGGCAATTAAACGCATTTGTTCCCTTACATAAAATGAGAAATGGTCCTTCGACTCTATAAAAATAATAAAAATCAAATATAGTTGAATGCAACGTCTTGCAATTTTAAATAAGAATTAAAATATAAAAAAGCGCGTTTCCGGTAAGGTTGAATACCGCAAATTAATACCTGAAGCTAAAATGGTTGTTCAAAAAATCAATGTTAGAATGAGAATTGGTCCTTCGACTATTTAAAAATACTAGTTTCGAAAAAATTGCATGGAGTGTCTAAACATTTTCGGTTGAATATCAAAACATTAAAGGTTGAATACGTCATATGGAATGAGATTCGAAGCTGAAGTGGTCCCTCGACAAAGCGGAAGAGGCAATGAAAAAGAATAAAGTGTACTTGTTCCCTTACTTCAAATTAGTCTGTTCGATTCTAGATATATACCAGAATCCAGTCCAAGCAAATATCAGAAGTGAAAAAATAGTATTGCTTCCCTATATAGAAGAAGAAATAGTTATTTGACTTTTCTAAAATACTAGTGTACAAAAATAAAATCCAGAAATATACAAAAAACGCGCCGTTCCGCTAAGAGCGAATATAACAAATTAAGTCCCGATTCTAACCTATAAAAGTTGAAATGGGCCTTCCATATAAGTAAGGATATTGTAATGGATCGACAATTGAATGTGATTGATATTGATCCATAGGTTAGATGCTGAAATGGTATATAAACCATGTCGGAACTACTTACACATGGTTCTCTATTTAGATGGTCCATCGACTATCCAGAAATAATAAAAAACATTAATACAAGCACATTTGAATGATAAATGCTCAATTCTCTTGTCGTGAAATATAAAAGTACATGTGTTTCC